GAGGAGGAGAAGTTAGGAGGAGAAGTTTGGAGGATCCAGTCAAGCGCAATCATTATTATTTTTATTTCCCTCCTCATCTCTGTGTCAGACATCATCAATTTTTTAAGGCAACATTATTTTCTTGTTTACCAATTTTTGTAGCATTCCATTTAATGAGCGTGGCGGTGTTTCTCTGTGCACACGTGCGTTGTCATTCATGCCTCACCTTCCCTGAACTACAGAGTCCTAATGACTATGCATGCTGCTGCCACTCTCTGCTCTCAGATATGTCTTGTGGGGCGTAAATCCTGTCAACAAGAGGCAACAGGCTGACAGGTAACAAAGTGCTAATGGATCGCTTCACCAATCTGCCCTGGCAGCATTACCGAGAGGACGGCCTGTGTAATTCATCAGTTGCCAAACTGCCTCCACAGCATGCAAGAAAATTGCCCCTATTCTTTTTTTTTACCTCTTGTTGTCCATTCTCCCAAACCTGGATATTTATCTTTGAGTCTTTGTTTATTTTCTCATTCCTATATCACACGAATGTTTCAAACTTAGGGCAGCTTCTGTGTTTGCTCAGTATCAGTATTGCCCTGATTTTTTCATTCAATCTCTACATGAAAACAGTTGACCTGATATTGAGAATTGAACTCCCTCCCAGAATGTAATCTACAACATCTTCAGTCCTCTTAGCATTCTATACAATTATTTCTATAACATTCTACACTAAAAATATGGCCCACTGTGAGGTTATTTTACCACAGGCAATAATAAATGTCTGTTACATAATGTAATAACATTTTGTATTTTGTATTTTATTTATTTATTTTTTTTTTAGAAAATAAGTCTTTCAGATGCAGCAGCTGCCTCAAGCAAAACACCAAAAACACATGAAAGGCCACGGACCACGTGGGAACAAATTAACCTAAAGAAATTAATTTGGCCTTTCTGGAGTGTTTTACAAAGTAAAAGCTGGTGTCTGTTGTAAATAGTTAATTTCTTCCTTGAGCAGCTATTCTGACAACCAAGAGCCGCAAGAGCAACATAGTTGAAGGAACTGTGTTGGTAAAAACTGGAAGGACAAAGGAAAAGTTTATTTTACTGTGAGTCCAGAGAAATATCTGCTTGTAAGGGTCAAAGATTGAAAACTGCAGTTGGATGTGCCCGAACTCCAATCTTTGAGGCACTGCTTCCAATACTATGGCCAGTATACAGTAGTTGCAAGGGCTTGGGAGTACTACTGCAGTTTGCTGCTGTTTCAAAAATATCTCCCTCAAACTAAATAATGCAAGGGGAAGGCAAACATCATTTTTGACAGTGACAGTGAGCCCTCTGGTTTCAAGGTCATCTGACATGGACCAAAACTAAGTATAATGTTTGGATGGATCCTACTTTCAGCTAGTTTTGTGGTGATCCACATAACAACAAACCATAAAATCCACAGTGTCTTTAAGACAAACAGTGACATCGGAATGACTAGGGATATTGTTCCTGTCTGTCTCATTTACCAAACCCTCACTTTAAAACCCTAATTTTTCAAGAACAGTAAACAGTCACAGTCACCATACTTCCTTTGGACTTTGCACCTGAGGGAGCTAGCTGCAGTCATAGCATCCATGCACTCAGAAGGTTCCCTCCCACATTAATTATATTTTCCACGGCACACGTTGGTTCAGTCGTTTATCAAGCGTCCTCCCTAGGTCAACTGCTCTTCATGTTAAGCAGGAGTCACGTGGCCAGCACGCCAATGTGGCATCATTGCATCATAGCGGTCTGACCTCAAGTGAGATAAGTTATGCTGGGGCAGGTTTCCAGGGTCGCAGATGTCACTATTGTGCTAGCTTCTGTAATTTATTATGGTCCATGAGAGTAGGGCTGATAAAGAGGCAAACCTTTACCAAGCTGCTGATACAAACCTGTGCTTTACTCTGTGTCTGGGCTCCACAGCCCACTCAGGTCACCCCCCCCCCCTCCCCCTCCCCAGTAAAACACTTAGTGACAGAGCGTGGGATAGCAGTGATAAAAGGCCTGTCATGTCCCAGTCATCTGAGACGTGCATTACAATCTCTCAACGTGTCCTTCCCGCTGTGAATTAATGAACAAAAATATTTGTTATTTTCCTTTTCTGTTCTCTGTGGCCTTTTGCTGACAGGTGTATTATTTAGGGTCGTGTAATGAGGCTTCAACAGAGAGACACAACATGCTCAGTATTCACACAGCTCTGAAAGCACGCTGGAATGCATAAAGAATTCTGTGATGGGTTGTTCAAAGAAATGAACGAGCTCATCTAAAAAAAGAATAGTTTTCCACAGGGAAAGAAGAGTTTTTTTTATATTCCATGTTATTAGAAAAACAGCAGGTGCAGTCCATGAACTACAGACAGTCAGGGTGCAGTTCTTCCAAACCTCGTCTGACTGTTTTTAGAAAAAATATAATAAAGTAACCAAATATATAGAAATCAAATAAAATAAAAGAAGTAAAAATGTAGATGATGAGGAAAGCAATGAAACGAGCAATCAACATTTAAAGATTTCAAATAAAGACCCTGGGACACAGGGGGAGGAGTGGTTAGTGCCCTGGCTTTACACTATAAGCGTCACTAGTTTGATCCCCAGTGGTAACTGTAGTTACTGAGTTTCTCTTTCTCTCAGTATTTTCTTTCACACAAACATGCAGGATTAGGTTATTTGGACACACTGTAGATGTAAATGGGTGAATGACCATTGGCTTCTACTGTATTATATATGTGACCATTGATTGCTGGAATTGCTTTAGTGAATGTGTCCCTGAAAAAAAAATCACGTGGCAGTAGCTGAATGAAACAGACCTGGAACGTAAAACGTAAACGCTTTGGTCCTCGTTCACGCTGACACGTGCATTCAGCAGGTCATTTCTTGCCTCCTGGCATTCACGTGTCACTCTG